TCCGATGTGTTATTGATCAGAAGGGCTGAATCAGATAATAATCAATAATATATTATAATTTACAGAGGGACATTTTCTCTTGGCGGCACTCATATGCAATACCCAGGGTAAGGGTCAACTTTACATCGAAAAATCACATGACAGATAGAGTTATAATACAATTCGTATAACTGTCATATCAAACTTTAAAACTTTATTCTTTTATTTTTCTAACAGATTATATTTTTCACAAATCAGATCTTATATAAAATTCCTTAATCACGGCTTTCTTTTCTTCCTCGATTACCGCGTGCTACAGTTTTATGACTTTTAGCTTCGTTCTTATGAAATGCTGAGTTATGGCCAAGCTGACCACATGTACGACACTTGTATGATCTGCGGATCGAACTTTCTCCACGCTTATGTTTTTGCTTTTTTTCAAGACTACTCATGTATCGTCATTTCGGGGGCCTTTCTTTGCAAGCAACTTTTGAAGGATTTTGAACTTTAACGAGGTTTACTGCAAGTTCTGTAACTGTGCTTTCAGATTCTTCACTTTCTTGTGCTAATTCAGAATCGTTTTGTAGCACTTCTCCAGTATTTAGATTAGTAGTATGCTGTTCATCGCATTGATTATCTTTTTGAATAGTTACAGCGCTTTGTTCTAAAATTCTTTTGTTCATTTGCTCATTTTTTTTTCTATTGATATATGTTGTTAGGAACTGAACTATTTCATTATCATCATTATCTACAGCGAGTTGAGTGGCTTTGCGTGCAAGCCCCCAAAATTTTCCATATTGGTTTCTTTTATAGATTTTTTTTTTTGCGAATGATGCAGTGACTAGCTTGGTAACTGATTTGCGTATTGGAATTGTATAATTATTCGCGTCTTGGTTAAGAGCAACTTTTCTGACATTGAATATTATATCATCATCTCTTGCTTCATCGTGATCTTGATACAAATCCTTATACCATCGAACAGATATTATGGATATGTGAAAGGCTGCCAAATTTGAATGCATTATTACTTGAAAGTAATAGCGGCATATAATGCCTTTAGAAATAGTTATTAAGCAAGAGCATAAAAAAGAAATTGGATTGGCAATTATGACGAAGTGAATATGATGTCTTTTTTTAGCACGCAAATCTGTAACTTTCCAAACTTCTTTTATATCTTCACGTCCGACCTCGTCAATAATAGCCTGAAGTGTTATATTTCTCGCATCATATTGGTCTTCAATAAATCTATCATAAGTTTGCTTATCGTTTTCCTATTTTTATTTTCATTGTTAGACCTTATTTACATATAAGCTTACTAATATTCAGTTATTTACCTGTTCCTGAGTTAATTCCTCAATTGTAGGCTCAATTCTATTCATATTAATGAAAAGACATTGGCTCATTTCAATTTTAATTGCATCACCGATTGCTTTAGTTATGTATTTTTCCAGTATATCAACTACTATAGGAAAGAGTTCATGACCAGTTGTTGGCATTGTTGCCATTGTAGTTGATATTCTATACTCATGAAATTGTCCCCAGTGTGCTTTATCTTTTAATCGTTGATCTAGGCGGTCGGCAAGTTCACATAGTGTACTATTCGCCCTTAATTCTTTTTTAATAATCCAATTATAATCTTCAATGCACGCAGTGCTTTCAATACCGGCTATAAAAATTTTGAATAAATATGCACGTGCCCAAGATTGATGACTTGGATCAAGGACTCTAAGTAGATAGTTCTTAGCTATAGGATAGTTTTCAAGTAAGTCTTTCCAACATTTCTCAAAAAGTGACTCGCATAAGCTGTTTCTGCATTGATAAAAACTTTTAATAAATTCCTCCTATTTGCTACCTAGTTTTGATTTTAGGTTCTTAGGAAGGTTTTGTCCGATATGATATATGCAATGTGCTGCATATGTTGTTAGAAAAATGGTCGATATGGTGGTATTTAATACAGGATCTGCATCTGTAAATAACACGATAGGTGGTTTATTTGTGGCTCTATTGATGCAATCCAAGATCTACATATATGTTTCTAATATCTTATTGCTAATCAACGCTTGGCATACGAGCCTTGACTTACTATTATTATTAACTATGATAAAAAGTGAAAGAGGCATTTGATATTGATTCGTTCACACTGTATTATCATTAATTACTATATCATAATATTTTAACCATAAGTTAGCTTGCTCAGGTGATATCCAGAAAAGCCGGGTCAGACGATTGTCTTCATCAAGCTCGAAGTTGATAGTCCACCGCAGATCAATCGTTTTTTTTTCATCAGAGAAACAAGTAAGGTAGCTGCGTTATTTTGTGTATTAGAATCTTTTGCTTTTCAAAATTTGCTAATGAAATTAGCAAGATCAGTGTCCTGAAAGTTTAAATCTGAAAAACGTGCTCTGAGGATGTTTCTTTGTGAAGTAATCGATAAGTTTCTATATTTTGTCATTAGCTCAACTTCTTTTAGTGCTTCATCGCTTAAAGACCGATATTTAATTCCAAATTTCCGAGTTTCAGGTATGAGATTATGATTATGTATATTGGCAATTGTTGTTAACTTGATTTGAGCATCATTTTCAGCTACTGAAAGGTTGCAATGCCAAGGGCAATTTACTTTCTTTGTTCTTGTGTTTCATTGTGTTCTTTTTAAGGTTGCTTTTGAACTTTTATTTGGTTTGTATTTTTCACTGAACTCGCAACTAAACGTTCTTTTAAGTATTACACCTATTTTAGTATGTTCCACTCTATACTTTTTAATTGAAAAGCCATTTCTTATACTATAATCCATAAAAAACATTTCGACTTCTTCCCATGTGTTAAATGTTGTGTTTTTTGGTATATCTTCTGATGATATAGCAACTACCAGCATCATAAGGTTATTAGAATAAACGATAATATAAGAAATAAAGCAATAGTCACTGATAAGTACTTACTATTTGTATTGCTAGCACTTATTTCATATTCGTTTAGTTTACTAACTGCACTATTTTCTCTGATAAAATCTGTATTATTCATAATTATATCAGTGTTCTCATCTTGAACAATTAGATAATCTTCTATTCCTTCAGATTCAACATCATTTTCTTCTGCTTCTTTGTAAATTTCAAATGTTGCTATGATGTATTTATGGTATATCAATATTTTGTAGATTATTATGTCCTGTCATTTATCAGACTTACGATATTTCATTGCTATTATTTTATCCAAATTGGATTTCATAAGAGCTATTGCACTCATACTATCGATCGAGCATTTGTAATTCATTTTAGAATTTTTTTTTTAAGGTAAACAATCCCAGACCGATCTCATATGCATCATTTATATTAAAATAATTTTTTTTAACATGTGACACATTTAGATATCACTTTCATTTATTTAATCTGTAATATGCAATGTATAATGGTATCGCATAATATATTATTTTCAAAATGCGATATGTTTTATATGTTGCTTTATTTTATTTTATTTTTTTTATGATTAATTTATATATTACATACTAATGCATCTGTATAATGTTCTGAAACTCACCATTTTTGTCACTGATGCTAACCTAATAGTAACCCTAAGGTGTTATCACATACTAAACTCAAATAGGTGTCAATGTGCAAAAAACAAATCATTTTGAATTTTAAATCTATCTTTGGCATTAATAAGAATGCATAATTTTACCCATAATGCCTTTCTAACTTAGACCAATTCTAACCTAATTTTACCATTTCAAATAGGGGAATTAAAAAATGGGTCTGCGATTTAACAGCAACAGGGTTATAGAGGAATTGTCCGCACGTGATTATCTGTCAGTTCAAAACATATATCGAAAACAGCATTTAGAATTTTGAAATGATATGTTAAACTATGTAATGTTTATCGTACTATAACTGTGATATAACTATGATAATCGAATCTGGTCATGCAGAGACCTAGAAATCGTATATTTAGACAATTTTTCTACATACAAGGTTAGCAATGAAGTTCAATGGAGCCCAGTGGAGTTGTGAATGGAACCAATAGAGCTCTGAATGGAGCCAATAGTAAGCTCTATTCGCATAATCATTGAGCTCCATTTGCTTCATTGCCAATCCTGCCTATACATTGTGTTTTATACTGGATGATTTATATGAAGAAGGAATCCATCAATGCGTGGTTTACTCGGCCAACATTAAGCAATACTGACCAATTACTGTATGTGTATAGATAATTTAATGACTAGGCTACGACTTTTTGAGTGATTATAGAAAAATTTACTTGTATTTGTGCATCTAGAATTCTGTGAATAGATTAGTTGTGAACCAAAGCTTAGTAGATAACCAAATTTAAAGGTTGAGCTAGGTCGGCACTAAGAAATAATATAAGTCAAATTATTATCTTAACAACTTAATGTAAAATTTATCAATGCTTGCTAGTTCTTGAGATTCCTGCCCAAAGCTTGGGCCGATCTGCAAATTTTAGATATATCACTAATTTACATATTATGTATCATATATATGTCATATTTATGAATTAGCACGTGATACTACATATAATAAATAATTTTAGAATACAATGAATAATTGCATCGCAGCATACGACATACAGATTTATTCTTATTTGTATATAAATTTGTAAATAAATTAAAAAAAAGTATTTTTTTTTACAAATTTTATATATAAATTTGAGTAAGTCAACTTATTTGATTTATATTTAACAACAACCAAGAGAAGATGTCTATGACTGTTATAATAAAAGAATATAAGTTATTGTTATATAGATTTAATATATTTTAAATCATAACTACAAATTTGTATAGATTCTTTATTAAACTACAAATTCTCTAATATAAATTTTAATATCTGATTTTAGTATTATCTTTAATATTTTTTTTTTTAATATTCAAGGTAAAGCCATGCTTCTTACTTTATTAAAATTTATTTAAACTTCTTTACAGAAAGAAATTACATATAAACTCCATATCCAAAGAATAGCAAGAATAGAAGCTCAGACTACTTTATCTGCAACCTAAATCTAATTATCTTTAATATTTATTAACACATTAATACAATTAAATAATACAAGCAAAAAAATAAAAAATATGATCTATTGCTTTATAAATTTAAAAGTATTTTATATAGTATTTCGATTTTATTTTTAACAGGCCATCCAGATTCTATTAAATCTAAATTAAATTTGTATTAAATTATATATAAAATCAGCTATTATATATACTTTTAGATTCATTATTTAAATTTCTTAACCAATCTGAATAAAAATTTTTAATATAAATATCTGAATTTATCTAGATTTAAGAATCAATTTAAATAGTTCGATTTTAGATCAAAATACTAGTTTTATATAGTATATATAAGTTTTTGCTTTTGCAAGCACTTAGCTAATCTGAAAAAAGCAGAAAATGTATATATAGTACTATAGTTATTAATAATATATTTATCCTTTTATTTTTTTGATCTAAAAATTAAGATTTCATATTGTAAATTATTTTGTAAATATAATGATTTCTGATTAACAATTTTTAAATTAGTATTAGACCTAAATTCACAAATTTATTATTTTTTTTTTGATATTAAAGTGACCCTTTTTGGTTAAGTACTTTATTATTGTTTGGATTACTTTTACAACTAGATAATCTACATCCGTCATATATATATTTCTATATACATAACCTTAATACAATACTATTTAATAACTATCTTAGAACAATTTTATTCTTAGGATAAATCTGCTAGAGCCTTCTATATTTACAATCTGGCTAACCTAGGTTTCAGTTGATATGCACAAGCTGAGACCTGCCACTTGCGTTCTAGTTTATCTCTAGCTATTCCAAATTACCAATTTAGATGACTTAGAAGGCTATGACCTGCTTTTGATTCCCACAGTTGAGTTCTTTTTTTCTGGCTACTCTCCGGTAGTCTGGTTGGTGGAGTATCTTGCCAAGCACTTCGGTCTTGTTCAGTTTTACCGGTTCTCCAAGTATCGATCTGTAAATAGTACTATTGAAGATTTGTGCTACCTCTCTATTCAGAACTTCCCAAGCGAGTACCCACTACTGTATTAGCCCTGTGGCTTTTTGCGATTCTAAAGAACTTATCTTGGGTTTGCATTGACTAAACCGGTTTGCATGCCTTTGTATAACTTTATATTACACAAATACCTCAGAATCTTTCAGTTTTTGATAAACTATAATTGGTATGATCACAGTTACAGGGTCTTGAGTTTTGATGATAGTTACTGAATCCATTTTTCTTAAAATTTAATTTTCGCTCTTCATGGGAATTAAACCAATACTCAACCACTTGGAGGTGCAACAACTTCACTACTTCACTAAGTCACTACACCCTAAATTCACAAATTTAGCATAGATCTCTATTTTATAATATATATAATTACTATCAGTTTATAATAAATTTGTAAATTCTAGGTTTATTTTAAAAGTATCTTTTTTAATTTCATATTGATAACAATTTCTGATATAATAATAAATTATTCAATTATTATTCTATTTTTAGCTAATTTTTAATTTGACCAATTTTACATAATAGAATTTTATATTTTGCTATCTTTAATAGTAAAGTACTATATATATGAGTCGATTAGAGTTAATTATTTTGCTAAAAAAGTTGTTTAAATTTAGATTAAGCTTGAATTGATCTATAATTAATATTCCTAGAAGCAAATTGTCAATGAATTTTATCAAACCAAATTAATCTAAATAGCTAAATATTGTCTATTATTGAGTTATTAGAAAAAAATATAGGTCTTATAAATCTATTACTAAAATACTAATTTTTAAGTTCTAAAATTAATATATAGACTAGTATAGCTATATATTACTCCTATATCTGATAAGTTACCAATAGATTTAATAGATGATTCACTAGTCATCTGGAGAGCTATGTGATACAGATTATACAAGATTTATATACAGTATAAATTATATATAAAATCTTCAAATAGTAAATGTAGAGATTTTTTCAGAAATGTAAAGAAAACATTTTTTTTCTTACTAAGTAAATTACTCTTAGGCTTCTAACAAAAGTTGTAAAGCTCATCAAGATGCATCTAATGGTGGTGAGAATGCTAAAATCGGTCTGGTAGTTCTTGAGAAATCTTTAAAAAATGTTTTACTGACATATAAAACTTCTTTAAAAAAATTAATTTTTTCAAAGAAATTTTATATGTCAGTGAAATATTTTTTAAAGATTTC